TATATATATATATATATATATATATATATATATATATATATATATATATATATATATATATATATATATATATATATATATATATATATATATATATATATATATATATATATAAATATAAACAAGAAGATTTGTATCTCAACCAGATAAAATAAACAAAAATTTTTTTATGAAAAAACTAAAGGAACTTGTATTATGGATATAAAAATTCTAGCATGACACAAAAAAGTCGAAGAATATCTTTTTAATACAGATATCAGTTTTGTAAATACTATTAAAACTATACCTCGTATAACACTCCATATATTTATTAGATTTTCTATGCTTATTTTTTCCCCATTTCCTTTTCGATTAAATTTGGGCTGTAACTGATTCGAAAATAACCTGATTAATATTTTAACAATAAACTGAAATATATTTATAAAGATTTTTATTTTAATATAGGTAATAAACTAAAATATATTTCAATATATGAATGCTTAAAATTATGAAAAGTAAAAGCATTAAATTTGAAAATAAAATGCTAAACAAGGTTTAGCATTATACTTACTTTAGCACACAAACAAACTTAAACACCTACAGTGAAGCTCCCGAGTTTATCAAATTGTCATGTTAAAAGTAAATCCATAACAAATAACGGTTAAAATGAATTGCTTTTGGTCCTTTTTAATCATATTTCTAACAATTTTTTTTTTTTTTTTTTATTTGCATTCACTCCCAACAAGGCTGCAAGCAACCACTATCAAGTTGGGAGTTACTAGAAAAAAAAAGAACAGAGTTATAGAGCAAGGAAACGGTTGACAGAAGACTTGAAAAGTTGAAGGTTGTATGAGTCAGGAAAACATGAAGATGGGAGAGAGTTCCAAAGGATTGAAGTGCGGGGAAAAAAACTAGATGAATAAAAGTTTTTAGAGCATGCAGGGACAGATACAGTAAACGAATGAGACTTGGCTGAATGACGAGTAAAACGAGAATGAATTTTAGTTGATGGAACTAGAGATGATAAATCCTTTGAGCAGTGACCATGATAGTATTTGTAGAAAAGAGAAAGAGATGCAACTTTACGACGATGGGAAAGAGGCTCAAGCTTAGCAGATAGTCCAGGTCCAACAACATTTACAATGCGTTTTTGGACCTTGTCAAGAAGAGAAAGTGAATCGTTAGAAGAACCAGCCCAAATATGACAACAGTATTCCATACAGGGACGAATAAGAGATTTGTAGAGGTAGAGAATGGAATCAGAAGTAAGAAAATGGCGAGCACAATAAAGAGAAGTAACCTTAGCAGAAGCTAATTTAGCAATTGATTGTATATATGGTTTCCATGAAAGGTCAGTAGTAAGCGATAATCCAAGAAGACGTAAAGAGGACGACTCAGTAAGAGGATTGCCATTCATTAATATAGGAATGTTGACCATATAACGGTAGTTGTTTGCAGTAAGCAACTGGGTTTTTTTAGAGTTGAAATTCACAAGCCACTGTGAACCCCAATCTATTACTGAAGTGAGATCGGATTCAAGATCAGCTGCTTGTTCTAGGCGATCGAAAAGAGAAGACTTTTTGTCAAGACAGGAGTATAAAGTTGAGTCATCAGCAAAAAGAGCTACTTTAGATGAAAGGTTGTCAGGAAGATCGTTTATGTAGATAAGAAACAAAACAGAGCCCAGGATGGAACCTTGGGGAACCCCAGAAGTTACTGGAAATAAAGAAGAGTGTTGGCCTTCAAGGATGACTTTAATAAACCGGTCAGAAAGAAATGATTTGATAATCTCAAAAACTTTCCCAGAAACACCATATGAAGCAAGCTTATGGAGAAGACCAGCATGCCAAACTTTGTCAAAAGCTTTAGATATGTCGAGAGCAACCGCCCTAGCCTCACCGCCTCCATCTAATGCACGATAAAATCTTTCAGTTACAGCAGTTAGCAAGTCGGCCGTAGAGCGAGAGGATCTAAAAACTTATTGATTGTCTGACAGTAGTTTATTTGACTCAAGATGAGATGTGAGGAATTTGTTGATCAAAGACTCAAAGACCTTGCTAATAACAGAAAGAAGACTGATTGGACGATAATTGGAGGGATCAGAATTTTCTCCAGAGTTTTTGAATATTGGAACCACAGATGCCATTTTCCAACAAGCAGGAAAACAAGACTCAGTCAAACACTTGTTAAATAGTTTAGAGAGAATTGAAGAAAGTTCTGGAGAACAATTCTGCAAGACTGTGACAGGAATGTTGTCTGGACCACAAGCTGTAGACGAGTTTAATTGAGATATGACTTTAGCAACTGAAGCCGGAGTGATTTGAATGTCTAACAATGGGTCAACCTGTTTGACCGGAATGGAAGGAAGAGAATGTCCATAAGATTCAAGAGTGGAATTAGAAGAAAAATTATTTGCAAATAGTTCTGCCTTATCCTTGGGAGAGGTAATAAGATCAGTCCCATGAATGAGAGATGGAATGTTAGATCTACCCTTGTTAATAATGCTGTTGAAGATTTTCCAAAAGTCTTTAGAGCCTAACTTCTGCGATAAGATGCGAGATTTAGTGAACTTAGAATAATGGAGTTTAGCATCAGAAAGCACCTTTTTATATCCATTTTTTGCAATAATAAATAGTTGTTTGTTTTCAAGAGAGTTGTTTTTTTGAAAAAGATGAAAAAAATGATTACGATTGGATATAGCAGCCGCACAAGAAGGAGAAAACCATGGAGTAGAATGAGGCTTGACTTGAAACTGAAGCGAAGGAATAAAAGCTTCCATTCCAGCCTATTTCCAGGAGGTTACGTAGGAGGCGCATTTGTCAGCTGAGAGAGAAAAAACATCAGCCCAAGGACCATCACGAAGAAAATCACAAAAGGAATCCCAGTCAGCTTTAGGGTAGTAGTAGGTGGTGCGATGATAAAGTGAGCCCAAAAAAGAAGTACGAGAAGAAAGATTTATAGAGATCATTGCATGGTCAGAACCACCTAAGGGAGAAAAGGGAGAAACTGAACATAAGCTAGGGTCAGAGACAAGATATAAGTCAAGGAGTGAAGGTAAATGATTAGGGTTGTCAGGAAAACGAGTCACAAATTAACTATCTGAGTAAGAGATTGAGAAACGCAGAAGTTAAAGGCTTTTGTGCCAGCAGGAACAGTGGTGTTAGAGCCAAGCCATTTAGTGTGATGGGCATTAAAATCACCAATAACAACAGTATTGGCTGAGGGGTAAAGAGAGAGGACATGGTCAATTTGATCAGAGATAACATCTAAAAGTGTGCAATCATGGGAAGAAGGAAAACGATAAAGAACAAAGAGAAAGGTGATAGAGTAAAGAGGTGCTAGGCAAAAGCACATAAAAGAATTGTCAAAGGATTCGAACCTGATTTCACGACAAATAGGGGAATTAATGCGTATGTATACCCCTAAGCCTAGCATGTGACTATTTGAGTCTTTACGAATCAAAGGATAGTACCCATCAACACTGACATCTGAAGAAGGAATTGCAGAATTTAAATTTGTTTTACTGAGTGCAAGCAAGTCTGGTGAATTTTGCAGGAGGTAAGACTCAACTGATGGAAAGTTGCTTCGCAGACCACGAATATTTGTAAAAGATATATTAAAATATTTAGGTGGTAGGGATGGTTTTTTAAGTTTTAAATTTTTGGTTACTTTGGTCATGATTTGGGTTTAATGAGAACTTGACTCATTCATAGATAGAGCACAGCCTCCTAATCAATGAGCTATGCAGTTGTCTCAGTCCTGTTAATTAACCCTAAGCCGTGACATAGGGCTCCTTATGTGGCCTTGACAATGCACACCAAAAGCATTAACAGGGACACCATCCATGCGCAACATGGCACTGTTAATACTCTGATATTTTGCAGCTGTTAATGGAATCAGCCTCTCTGAGAGCTACCACAGAGTTAGGGAAACCTTACTACCAGCCGGCCTCAGAACCATTAAACTGAGTTTTAGATCTGTACCCTCATATGGAGATAACAGGAAGAGTTGCATAGCCATTATAAAGGAGGCATAAGCAAAATTCTATGAGTAGAGTCAAGGAGATCCAGCATTCATCATCCTAGGCAGGAAACAATGTAACACAGGTTACATCTACGCCAGCCTAATAGATGAAGAAGGGGTTCGAGGCTGGTTAGCAGAATTTTTCTGCTTACCCCTAAAGTCTTTGCCTAGGAGGCCTTCTACAAGACAGTAGCTGGATGCAGTTAACATCTGCCCAAGATGAGTATTTTTATCGAGACACCATCTCTAGCCTTTACTCAACCAAGAGCCCCAAGGCAGGGGAATTTTTAGTCGGAGTTTATTTCTCCTAGCCTTTGCATAAGAAGAGCACACTCTGCAAGGCAGCAGGGCTTGTGGCAGGTGGTACTGGGTTACGTGATACCAGTAGCAAGATTAATAAAAACATAATCATTCCCCTTTTCATGTTCAAAAAAACATGTTCTCTTGGCACCACCAATCTTTTTCAAACTATCAAGCTGAAATAAATGTAATAAAAACTAGTGTAACTTAAATTTCTTTACGACATATTGAGTTTAACACAATCTAGTTATTTTAGTTCATTTACAAATACTTTTCATTTAGATTTTAAACTAGTAAACCAAATTTAAACAAACTTATTAAAAATTAAGATAATTAGATATTACCAAATTAGTATACTCGGTTTTATCTTTTAGTTTATTATCCAGTGTAACCACTTCGTCCACTGATTCTAGCAACTTCACCCCAGTAGCCTGAAACTTAATTTCTATAACTTCTTTTAATAGGAATTTTATTTCTGCAAGCTCCTTGAGAATAACATTTTGCATCTTTACAAACAAGAATAAAAAGATTGACTAACATATTTAGCTCATAAAACCAAATAGCAAAACAATGAAATAAAAACTTTAAAATTCAAATTATGCTTGAGTATCTCAAACTAAAATTCCAAAAATACATGTAATTTTTTTTATTACTCCATCGCAGAAGTTGCCATAATATTTTGGAAAACCTACTTTTTAAATCAGCTAAAACTTTATCTGTAGAATCAGACAAAGGCAAAAGAGGCAGATTGGAAACCTAATAAAAAATAATTTTGACTAAATAAACTACTTTGCAATAATAATCTAATAAAAAAATAATCCACTCAAGTTATAGGTAAACCCGCTGAAAATAAATTAAACATTCAAGTTTTACAGAAATTCTTATTTAATTTTGCCAAATAAACAACAACAAATAATATCCAGATTTATGTCAAACCGTTACTGATAACCAGGGGTGTGTAGTTGTAAAAAAAAAGTAATGACTCCGACTCCAGTTGTTGAAACTTTTTGAGTACAACTCCAACTCCGACTCCAGTTGTTGAAATTTTTTGAGCACAACTCCGACTTCGATTACAACTCCAAAGCAATATTTTTGAAAAATTCTTCAAATTCTTTAAAAAATATTACGGGATAAATTAAAAATTTCTTTTTTGACAAGTTTATGAAACGTTCTTTGAGGTTTAGTATGAACATAAGGTTAATTGAATGTTTTGTACATGCACGTACAATACCGGGAAGTTTTGCTATTGGAGTCGGAGTCGCAATTTTGTTTAGCAACTCCGACTCTGCTGAAAATGTCTCAACTCCGCAACTCAGACTCCATAGCTCTGGTGATAACTTTCGTGTATTTTTTTGTGGGCTTGGCTCAAGAGCAATTCTTTTTATTTCCTCCTGTAAAAGGTTGCGATTTTAAAGAATTTTGTTTAACTTCTAAAGGTAAAGTTGACAAAATGCTACACACATGATTTATCGGATCACAATATTATAAATAATCTATTTTTATTCTTTTATATCTATCTTTTACAATTATTTTAAAACAAAAACAAATTAGTAAAAAAGACCTCCACATTAACATTCAGTGGTGTAAAAACCAAAACTACTTACATTAAAACTTGAAACTCTTTGACAATGTGAACTTTGCTTGGTTTTATTGTGTTTATCAATAAAATGTGAAGAAAAAACATCTTCTTCAATCTCTAAATCTGATAACAACTCTATTCAAAAGAAATAATTATAATTAGAACAAAAATAATCCCTCAACCATACCTGTTACTTAATTTAATCTTTCAACCAGTTTTGTACTCTTTCAATTTCTGAATTCAAACAACTTCAGCATGCTTTCAATCAATTTTCAATTTTCATATCAAGTTGATTAAAGGATTATTTAATACAATAGAATGTCGTCAATGATATAAATATATGTAACCAATTTAACAAAATTACATATAATAGGACACCCAAATAGTTAAAATAAAAGGAAAACCTTAGTAATACATAAAAAAGACTAATAGCTAGATAGATATTATTCAGATCAAATTGAACAAGAATGCATTTCAGTTAATAAACCATTAAGAAAAAATTATGATACTTGTGTTATACTTTTAGCATTGGGCTTATTCATAATAGATGGGGGAGGTTCTGGCAAATTGATATTTTTATTTTTAGAATAAAAGATAATGTAATTAATATATATATATATATATATATATATATATATATATATATATATATATATATATATATATATATATATATATATATATATATCACTGTCTAAATAGTAATGATGTTACGCTTTCTTTTGATAATACTTAGGTTGTTAGAGAAGTTTGTAGAACTTCATCGATAAAGTTACAATAAGATAGGAAGTAATTAAATATTTATATATCATCATAAACTATGTTTAATTATGAACATTTTAAGTACTTGTTGACATATTTTGAATGTTTGTTAAAAAAGTTATTTAAATTTTATTATATACGTTTGAAAAAAAAAATTTACAAATGGAAAAACTTGAACATCGAGCATATATTAAAATCAATGCTCTATTTGGAGTTTCAGCACAAGCCATAACCGATTAATTAGTTTTAGCTCATAGTGACCAAGCTTCAAAATATAGTACAGTTGCCAAAAAAGCTATTTTATTTAAAGATGGTAGAGAGAGTCTTGAAGATGATCCTCGCTCAGGGCACTCATAAATCACAAATACAGCTGAGAATATTAAACGTTTGCGAGCCATTACTGAAAAAAATCTGCATGCAACACATGATATAATTGAAGCCCTGACATTAATTATTCGTTTTACAATTAACGAAACCATTCACAACGCACTTAAAAAAAAAAAATTAACATCACGCTGCATACCCCATAAGTTAACTGATCGAAATCGAAAGAATAAAGTTGAGGCATGTTAAAGAAATTTAGCTCTTTTCAGAAACTTCTTCAAAACAATAGGTGTTGTTTATTTGAGTTATGTTGAAAAGGGAGACACCATTACTAGCGTATATTATATAAAAAATTGTTTGAAACTTCTTATATGCGAAATAAATAAGCAAAGACCTGAAAAAGGCACTCAAATTTCAAATTTCTCCATGATAACGCTCAACACCATGTAACTCAAACCGTCACAAATTGTCTAAACCAAGTTGGAATTACAATAATTTGCCACCCACCATACTCACCAGACTTAGCTCCATCTTATTATTGGCTATTCAACTTGATAAAAAAAACTTGATGAGGATACTGACGTCAAAAGCCAAAAAACCCTCATAACGAAGCTACTTGAAAGTATGCCCAAAAACGAGTATAAAAAAACATTTCACAAATGGCTTGAAAGAATGCAACTTTGTATAGATAATGATAGACATCATTTTGAACATTTAATAAATTAATATTAAAAAAAACTCTTTAATTTTTTTTTTCATTGGGGAGTTCTACGAACTTTCGTAACGACCTAAGTATATTTTTAGGAAACTAAAAGTAGATTTAAGGTAAGGGGCCATCTAAAATTATGTAGACAAGTATATGTAAGTGAGTTACCCAAAAGCATACAAGGGAAGAGAGTGTTAGTTTCTGTACAAACACTCAACTCCATTGTAAAAAACTGATAGCTTTTTTTTTCTGATTACTGATGAGTATAAAGGTCAATAGTTTCTTATTATATTTTCATGCAAATAGTTATAGAAGAAAAGAAAAAGCCACCAATAGTTATTCTTAACTATATTAATTATTCTAATTAAAAAGTTATTCTAATAAATTAAAAATAAAAGTTTTTATTATGTTTATGTTTTGAAATTTAGTAGCGGTAGGTATTTAAAAAAAAAATCGCACTAGTTTTTATGTAAATATCAAATATAAATTAAGAAAATAAAAAAATAAAAAAAATTATATATATAAATGACAAATAATGTTTTTAAAATTTTGTAGTTATAAAAATAACTATATTTCTTTTGTTTATTTACTTTAAACAAATTTGAAAATTTTAGAGCTTAATATTGATCTTTAAAGTAAATTCACAACTTTTAATTTTATATTGATAAATTGTTATTGCTGTCATTACATTGAACATTGGCAGAAATTCGAAAAACTGAAAACTGTGGCTTGATTGCATTGATATTTTAGTTAAAACCTCTGATATAATAACTTTTCTGTAAATCTTTCAGGAGCATTAATTGAACATTATTTCGAAAGAAAACTTAAACAACTTCTTTGAATGAATTTTAAAATCTTTGTTAATTTGTAAAGAAATAAACATTAATTTCAAGCTCTCGTCAAAACTTCTTTCTTGTTGATCTATAGATACTTTCTACAATTTATCATTTTAGTGATTAGATCAACCAAAAAAAAACATCTTCTGATTTATCAAGTTTTAAAAACGTTATTTTTTTTTTTGTTATATATTCAATGCTGTTCTTTAAATTTAAACAATCGAAAAGCATATCCGCCATAAAGCAAATTTATGTATACTTCTGATAATAGTTAAATATGATGATTCTGGTGGCATAATAAACAAAGTTCTGTGGAATCAGCTGTTTTTGGTAAAAAAAAAAAAAACATTATGTTTATTTTGCCTTCTTAAAGCTGAACAGCCATATATTGCTCAATTTTCACCAGACATATTCACAAAACAAATTTGGTAAAATAGCATGCAAATGCTAACAATGTTTCTGTACAGATTCGGAAGTCCGGAAACGAAAAAAAACAAAATTGAAAGAGTTAAAACAATGCGCCTTTGTTCGCTTCTAAACTATATCTTTCTTTTAACTAAGATTAAATTATATTATCAATACTTCAACACGTTTAGTTTTAACCGAATTGTCGAGTAAAACTGAACTTTTTTTTTTTCAAATAAGTTCATTTTACTAAAAAATTTCAATCATTTTTTTCTTTACATATTCGAATAGAGCTCATTTTTTAAACAAAAACAAAAAAAAAAAAAATTTTAATATAAAAATTTAATCTTTTTATGTATCTTTCTTATTTATTTATTTTTGTTGGTGTTTTGATTGTAAATGGGTCGATAAGACATCTTTGTAAAGGGGATTCAATTCTTACGAAATCTTTGTAAAAATATTTTTTTACAAAACGTTAGCATGGAAATTAGCCGAATGACAAAATAAATTACAATACAACTCCTTTTTTACTTTTTCCAAGTTTAAAAATTTATACATACACACATACACATATACATACATGCATACATGCATACTTATATATATATATATATATATATATATATATATATATATATATATATATATATATATATATATATATATATATATATATATATATATATATATATATATATATATATATATATATATATATATATTATTTTAAAACATCAAAAATACGATTTCTCTCAACACTTATAATTTTTTTATTATTATAGAAATTTTCGCTGGATTTTAGATACCAGCTTCTTCAGCTTGTTAAATGTTACAGTAATTAATAAAATCGTTATAATTTAAATTAAAACGTTGCTATTGACGTCAGCGGTTGAATGGCTTCTTTTTCGCTGAAATTTAAAAAATGGCGTCCAAAACTTAGTTTTTACGTATTGACCCTCATCGAGATTAATCCCGCCATTTTTTGCAGAACACATGTTTTTTTGTATTTCTAGGGCTTCCCTAACTTTTCTTTCAAATTTTTTATTTTCTACTTTCAATGTTTTTGTTTGTTCCCAAATAATTTCTTTTTTGCAAAATGTTTTATGCAGAGCTAATGCGGATTGATGCTGCTTATTTTCATCAATGCTTTTTTGGTGTTGATGCATTCGTGTGTTTACTTTCATTTTTGTTTCGCCTACATACACTTTTGAACAGTTGCATTTGATTATATATGTTCCCGGTTGACTGTTATTAGGTAGTTTTGATTTATTTTTTGATGTTAACAGGGATCTTAAGTTTGGGTTTGATTTGAATACCGCTCTGTAACCAGCTTTTCGGAATACTTTCCTAAGTTTTGGTGAGAGACCGGGTACCCATGGTAAGGAAACTACAGGATAATTATTGATTTCAGATGGAATTGTAATTTTATTTTGTCTTTTGTGTTGAAACTGATGCGCAATATTCATCATTTGAGTTTTATCGTAACCATTTTCAATAAACACGTCGATTAGAAAATTTATTTCATTTTGCAAGTAAGACTTACTACAGATTGAGTAAGCTCGGTGGAGAAATCCTTTAAAAATAGAGTTCAAGATATTTGGATCATGATTTGAGTGCAGTATACCTAAGTATACCTGAAATAAAACAACTTATAGAACTTTGTTTATTTCAATGTTATTTTCATTGGAACAATGAAATTCATATAATGGAAAACTCGGGTCCAATTGGACTTTCGTTCGAGGTCGTTCTTGCAGAATCATTTCCACAATTCCATGAAACAATGCAATTAAAGTTGCACTAAATTTCAACCCTGCACTTAACCTCAAATCGTTCTTAAGATATGTCGATGATAGTCACGCAAGGTTTCCAGATCTCAACCAAGCAAAACATTTCCAATACATTTTAAATCAACAACATCCTTCCATCCAGTATACAATTGAAGTTGAAAACGAGTTAGGAACACTAAATTATCTGGATATACAAATTATGAATAAAAAAACAGGAAAGTATGAATACGCAGTATATCGGAAAGATGCTATCACTAACATTCAAATTAAGCCACACTCAAATCATGATCCAAATATCTTGAACTCTATTTTTAAAGGATTTCTCCACCGAGCTTACTCAATCTGTAGTAAGTCTTACTTGCAAAATGAAATAAATTTTCTAATCGACGTGTTTATTGAAAATGGTTACGATAAAACTCAAATGATGAATATTGCGCATCAGTTTCAACACAAAAGACAAAATAAAATTACAATTCCATCTGAAATCAATAATTATCCTGTAGTTTCCTTACCATGGGTACCCGGTCTCTCACCAAAACTTAGGAAAGTATTCCGAAAAGCTGGTTACAGAGCGGTATTCAAATCAAACCCAAACTTAAGATCCCTGTTAACATCAAAAAATAAATCAAAACTACCTAATAACAGTCAACCGGGAACATATATAATCAAATGCAACTGTTCAAAAGTGTATGTAGGCGAAACAAAAATGAAAGTAAACACACGAATGCATCAACACCAAAAAAGCATTGATGAAAATAAGCAGCATCAATCCGCATTAGCTCTGCATAAAACATTTTGCAAAAAAGAAATTATTTGGGAACAAACAAAAACATTGAAAGTAGAAAATAAAAAATTTGAAAGAAAAGTTAGGGAAGCCCTAGAAATACAAAAAAACATGTGTTCTGCAAAAAATGGCGGGATTAATCTCGATGAGGGTCAATACGTAAAAACTAAGTTTTGGACGCCATTTTTTAAATTTCAGCGAAAAAGAAGCCATTCAACCGCTGACGTCAATAGCAACGTTTTAATTTAAATTATAACGATTTTATTAATTACTGTAACATTTAACAAGCTGAAGAAGCTGGTATCTAAAATCCAGCGAAAATTTCTATAATAATAAAAAAATTATAAATGTTGAGAGAAATCGTATTTTTGATGTTTTAAAATAATATATAAATATACTCTCACACAAGATGTTATCCTTTAAATCATATATATATATATATATATATATATATATATATATATATATATATATATATATATATATATATATATATATATATATATATATATATATATATATATATATATATATATATATGTGTGTGTGTGTGTGTGTATTCTGACTTTTTAAGGAAGGGGGGGTTGAGGGGAATGTTGATAGCAAAGCTATATATATATATATATATATATATATATATATATATATATATATATGCAAATTTAACCAATTATAAATATATGCTAAGTTAGCTGACTTGCTTATGTTTAAAACATGTATAGTAATATAGAATTCGATGATAAAGACTAATTTTAGTGATTTGCAGGCTTACTTTGAATACATATGCGTAATTTAACTTCGTTTCTTGTTTTTATCAAAAAAATTTTTGCATATTAGATTTATGTTTCAGCCTCAATGCATAAAAACAGAAGAAAAAAAATTGAATAAAATTTTAGCAAACATTAATATAAAAGTTTAAATAAAACTTAAAAACCATTTTTTTAGCCATTATTTTCTTTGTTTCTTAGTAATCCTTTAAATGTTTTATTTCAGAGTTTCTTAGTAAATGTTTGATTTCAGAGTTTTTTATTTTAGAGTTTGATGCACCATGGATCCTTTGCATTTTTAGCAGAATCTCTTATTGGTGTTTTTTTATAATGGTTTTAATTTTTGTTTTTAACTCTCACATCATGTGGATATTTTCACTCACTTTGCTGTTCATGATTATTACTTGTAAGTGTATATATAAATATATTAATAAATTTCAAACAATAAAGTTTACTATTTTACAAATTTGTAAAGTAAATTAGTATTTATTAAGTTATGAGTGTAAACCATTTTGTATCAAAGTTTCCTAGTAAAATAAAAAATGTGGACGTTTGTCCCATATGGGTTTCTTTGGGGTTCTGTGTGGGAGCCCACATGAAGCTTATGTGGGACAAGTATATTTTTTTCACTGGATTACCGTTAATTAATAATACACGTTTTTACTTTTTCAGGTGTACTTTTGGCAGTTTTTAGTATAGCTGTACATCTTAGGATACATCGCGATATTGAAAGTGCTCTTGGTACTAGCTTTGTCAACAAAGATATTTCGTTGTATATAACGTATTGGGCTCTCATTCCTGGGTTACTTTCATTATTATTGGCTTTTATCTTTATGGCATCTAGTTTTGTTCAACCTGGAGCAATTAAACCAAAAGATAATTGTGATTTATCAGAAGTTTCAGTACTTCATGACAAAAAAAAAATTCAAGATTTGCTTATTTAAGAATATCTAATGTCGCCATAATTTAAACAATGCGAATTTAAAACAGCTTATTATTTTGCTAATATGCTTTTATATTGCCATAGTGCTTGTTACGAGAAAAGTTGTTTATTTATTTATTAAACATATTTATTATGTTAAACCTATTGCTAATATCAATTTACATGATTTTTTGTAATCCAAAATTTATTATACAGAGATGTGTTTGTAAAAAGAGCCTGTATAGTCTGTCTAAAACATTTCAGTTTGTTTTAATAGAAAATAATAAATTATAACTTTAATTTGTTAATTAAAGGTGAAGAGTGAAAACATTTGAGGAAACCATCTTGTGCATTATCCTAAAAAAATGTGATAACTTTAAAGAAAAAGTAAATATAAATATTTAAAAAGATTATTTTTAAACTTGATGACTTTGTTCGTTATTGCTATTATTGCTGTTATAATTATAATTATTATTGTTATTATTATTGCTATTATTATTGCTATTATTATTATTATTATTATTATTATTTTTATTATTTTTATTATTATTTTTATTATAATTATTATTATTATTATTATTATTATTATTATTATTATTATTATTACTAGCTGAATAAAGCGAGATTAAGTCTTTACTAAGTTCTGAACAAATTTTCTTACTGCATATATTTAAAGCAGATTTTATTTGTTGAATTTCCTCTTTGTATTGTTTGCATTGAAGTCTGTATTGCTGCAAAATCAGTTTAAGTCTACTTAGAGAAATTACAGAGATTGGCGCATTTAATTTAGCAGAGTCTTAAGAGTAGGTCTTTTAGAGTGTATATTAGAAATTACTTTAACATTAAGTTCCTGACAAAATCTGCAAGGTTTATTTTTTCCAAAGGCTAATAATTCATAAGAGTTGCTGCGATAAAATTCAATTTGATGCAGTTTAGACTTTCATAAAGAATTTTTAAAAACAAAATAATCAAACGTTTTAGAACAACATGTTTCTGAAAATTAATACTTTAATTGAATTAGAAACTTTTATTCCATTGCAAAATTCTAAAGATAGATATAAAGATACTTCAAAAATAAACTGTTGAAAAATCACATTTAGAAATAAATATTTATATTTCAAATATAAATTATGTGTTTCAAGTAACATCCATCCATACATACGAATAGTAAAATAGGAAGCTTCTACAAAAATTTCAAATTTTGGAATGACTTCTTTTAATAACTTAAACGAAACATAACAAAAATTATCAAAAAATTCAATCTTCCATAACTTATTTAATGAAGACAAACGCAGAAGACGTTTTTTAAAGTCAGCAAAGTTTCTATAACAATAGGGTTGTGTTAAAGAAGAACCCCAGATAACATATATACGTTGGCCCGAAGTCGGCACAACGTAGGCTTTTACAGCGGCCGATGATAGTTTAACTACGTCGAGCCAACGTAATTTTTGCTCATTAGAATGATGTAGACCCAATGGCGTCGGGCCGATATCAATAAAACGACGTTGGTCCGATATCAGTAAAATGACATCGAGCCGATATGAGTATACAGTTCGCCAATTATACATTAGATTTAATGTTATTAGTTATAACAAGGGTGTTTCTGCATCGCAGGAGATTTGTCATCTTTATGAATCTTCATTGTTTAATGAAGCATTGTTCTTAATCAGAATATATCTTACTTACTCTAAAAAGCAAATTAATACATTAGTTTGGAAATAAAACATTAATGCAAAATCTTTTACAAATTTATATTTTCTATCATACCCATGAAGTATTATCACAGTTTAAAACACGTTAGTCATAAGATTTCAACTACTCTTTACTAAGATTTATTAAATCTAAATATTAACTTATTTAATCTAAAGTGAAACTCAATATGAGTAATTACAAAATCAATTTGTTACTATTTATATAAATATAAATCAATATATATATATATATATATATATATATATATATATATATATATATATATATATATATATATATATATATATATATATATATATATATATATATATATATATATATATATATATATATATATATATACCCTGTAACCACTACCATGATGGATTTTAGAAATTTTTCTTTTTATAATAATGTACTCTCGGTGCTTTTTGATATTTAATTATGTAAATATGTTAGGACTTTTGATCACAATCAGTAAAGGAGAATAATTTTTCATCAGTTGTAATGACTTTTTACCAGTTTATCTTAATAAATCCATAAATATATAAGGTGATAATGCACATAAACATCCTTTTGAAACATTTTTTTAAATTGAACATTTTATCAATGTAACATTTAATTTACTTTCTTGGTATCTTAAACTCTTCTAGATAACTCAGAAATAGTTGGTGGTTTGTCTTTTTAATAATAAGTTTTTCATCTGAAAAAGTTAACATAAATTTAGCTTTAATGGTCAATGCCAATGTTCAACTTTTTTACCATTTAAATAATCTTTTATTTTAATTCTCACCAGGTTATTTTTAACTCTACTAATGGTGGTTGTTAAAACTTTGATTGATTCCTTTTCTAAAAATTTCTTAATTGTTCTATGCAAATATCCAAGTTGTACCAACAATATAATACGTTCTTAAGTATTTTTTTGATTTTTTTTTTTGTCAAAATGCTTTTTTTGCATAAATCTTTTTTTTTTCGCTAATTTCTTAAAAAATGTGATTAAATTATAAATAATATTGTTAAATATTCCCTTACGGAAATATTCCATGGAAAACCCATGGAATTCCATGAGTATACCCATGGAATTCCATGAGTATACCCATGGAATTCCATGAGTATACCCATGGAATTCCATGAGTATACCCATGGAATTCCATGAGTAAACCCATGGAATTCCATGAGTAAACCATGGTTTTCCTATGGAAAACGGAAATTCCATTATATTTCCATGGGTGAATTACATAAAAATTGAAATCGCATGGAATTTCCATGGGTGAACCATAGTTTATTTTTCATTGCTTGAGGTGAGTTTCCACTCATCCGTTTTTCTACAGGAAAGGGAAAGGGAACGTAAAAATAATCACGTGAGCATGAGCAGTTTTCTTTCGGACAAAAAAAATCTTTTATTACGCATGCTCACGTAATTATTTTTTCCGTTCCCGTAGAAAAACGGATGAGTGGAAACTCGCCTTTATGCTGCACCATGGCTGTTTCGAATGCGCTTTTAAAGATGCCGTCATAGCTCGTAGAGTTACGATTACTTTTAACTTGAGTAAACAATACTTACTGCATTCTACTGTTTTTCTGTGTTTAATAAGACTATAAATTATATGTTTTTAATAATGTATTACATTTATTTGATTCAAACTAAACATACAGACATAAACAAACTAGATATATTTATCATATTATAATGCATTATATATGGATTATTTTTAATTATATTTAATTACATATCATTTATGCATATGCTTATTTTAACTGTTTCCGATAGCTTTGCTTACTTTGCATATCTTGCAATAGTATAGCAAGTATGTCTAGTAAATCAGTTTGAATTTTAATGCTTACTTAGTAAATTATTTGCCAAATAACTTTTATTTGGTTTACATTAAATAAACGTTTAGTTTTAATCTACATTAAACAATTAGTGTATTAATGTACATAGTTAGGTACGCCGATATCCGCGTTTTACGGAACCGATAAATGTGCTAAAATTCTGTGCCACGCTTTTTGAACTTCGCATTTAGAGAGGTAGGTTGTGCTGTGTTTTGTCGCCTTATTTTTTATAATTTCATATTAACATAGATATTTTTTAGAAACTAGAATGATTATTCTTTAAGAATATGTGTTTTTTGATTACTATTACGTACTTTATAAGTTGATTTCTTGACATGCAAAACTTTGTTAACTTTGCACATCCAGCAAATATCGAAGATACGGACAGCAATTGAGATTGTTTCGCAGCCATTTAAGTTTACCCATTTTTTATTTGTCTGCCAAATTTCGTTGAAAAAAAATGGGGTCCAAGCAGTCTATTTTGGGGCCCACTTTTGGTACCTATTTTCCTTAATCTGAAATTTTTTGCGGGCGATCGGGGGGTGCAAAAAAATCGAAATCTTTAACTTTGAAAAAAAATAAAACTTTTTTGTAAATTTTTTTATTTTTATTAAATTTTACTTTTTCTAGTTAAAGTGAGTGAAGAGATAAATTGTAAGATTACCAAAATTTTTATTTTCATTTTCCAATTAATTTATTAGTTATCTTTTATGCAAATTGTATCACTATTTACTTAGATATAATAATACTTAGTAATGCTAAGACTAATCTTTGTCTAATCTAATAACAGTATTTCTGAGTAATTGTATTGTTTATTTAGTAAGAAGTACATAATGGTAGAAATTTATGTTTCTGTGTATGATTCTATGTATCAAAGTCAGAATCTATATCAATAAATATTGATATAATAATACTATTAGTACTATTACTAATAGTATTATTATTATATATATATATATATATATATATATATATATATATATATATATATATATATATATATATATATATATATATATATATATATATATATATATATATATATATATATATAACTTTTGTTTAAATAAAATTGATATAAGTTGTTTGAAATAGTTCCTTTGTTATGATTGTTTAGATGCACAAGCTATTGAAAGCTTATTTGCAAAATTAAGTTGGTAATTCTATTTTGTTATTTAGTTATTATTTATTTAATTATTTAGTTAGTAATTCTCATTTATTGAATCTATTTTATTCTTAATTCTATTTATATTAAAACTGCTTTGTTATTTTATTTATTATGTTTTTATATAATCTTATAATAATATAAAATTCTCACAATGTAAATCACAATGAAAATAAAATATAACTGTAATGAACTAACAAAAATAAAAATAAAAACCATTATTATAGTTATAACTTTTTTTTTAAGTTATTTGTTCGCAATTGGTTATTTTTGTTTTTTTAGACACTATGGAGAATACAATAAGTATGCATTTTATTGTATCGTCTAATACTTTGTTAAAAATAAATTATTGTTTTTCAATCTCAGATTTATTTATTATTAGTTACTTATTTGTAAGTAAATTTTGTTTTTGGATTTAAAAAATTTAATATGCAATTTATGTATAAGACCAATTTTGAATATATAGTTTGTGTATATGAAGCAAAAACTTGAAAATTGTATTATTACTAATTTTTTTTATAAATAGGTTTATAATAATTGTTATGTTTTAGTGAAACCTTCATCAAGTTCCTCAAGAAAGTTTTTCATGGTAAAATGGTAGTTCAGTGGTCTATGCAGGCAGCACGTAGAAAACAAATAAAAACTCGACTACAACATTCTGAAATTAGAGCTGAGATTTTTAACACAGACTATAAAACGCCAAAAAATCGATGAAAAAGAAAAAAGAAAATTAGAGCAACAATTAACATTATTAACTATCAGTGAAATTCTGAATTTGTTTAAAAACTTATCTACTAAGCAAATTGATGATTTAAATGATGTTATGTGTGAAAGAATTGTTTGATGATTTAAATGATGTTATGTGTGAAAGAAATTTTTGCCATGAATGGTATGATTCCGATACAGCAATGACAGTCTTGTATATTGGCAGAGTAGAAAAAGAGAAGAAAATGATACTGAAGCAGTTGATTATTATATAAAAAAGTTCCAGCAAGTTTTTAAATTAAAGTTTATTGATGTTTTTAAATTAAAGTTTATTATTTTAATTGCATTTAAATATTTTTATGAATCTCAATAAAAAATATATATATTTTTTTTTAGGTTGTCCAAAAAAAAAAAAGGGGGGGACAACACGCCTCCTCCCCCATTTACACCCCTTGAAACAAGGGGTGCGCTGCTAGTGATTTTGTAAAGTAGTAAAATATAATTTTTGATTTGAATAGTAGATTTCTTTTTAATTATAAAGATAAATATTTATATAAAGAGTCATTTTTTATAATAGCGTGTTTGAAACCATCACCCTTACATCCACCCAAAGGCAATGATGAATATTCTATATTTGATTGTGGTCTGATAGCTAATAACAAAAACATCTTGCATATAAAAAATTTATATTTTCATTAAAAAAAACACTTTTTTATAAATATGTACTATATTTATTAAATATGTACTGTCTTTATTGCCAGTAAGGATGGTGGTTTTGTGCCCCCTCTTACTCCCCGGATGCGCCCGTAATCTAGAAACCTTTGTAAATTTGTAGATGACTCTTGTATCTATCTTTTGATACCAAGATATAAACATTTGGATAAGAATTGGTTAAGTTATAATAGTTTTAGTTAATAAAAAGTTTATTTTGACCTCAATTTCTTCAACAAACCCTAATATCAAAAAATCGGTACTTAAAACGTCATAACTTTTTGTAGGGTGGTTCGATTTTGAAAATTTTTTTACTTTTAGAATATTGACATTAAGCTCTTTTTAATGATATATAACAACCTATAATTTGATGAATTGATGAATAAAAATTTCATGTGACATACCTAACATAGTGTAATCTAATGTACATTAAAACTAATATAATAATTATTATAAAACTTATCTAACATATTAAACAAACTTATCTAATATATTAATATATAAGCAGTATATCAGATAAGATTAGATACTAAGATAAGATAAGATAATAAGATTAGATAGCTAATGTACAAAAGATAACTAGTACGATCTTTTTTATTTATTTTATAATAGCCTTAGATTACATAAAAATGCTTAAAGTTTATTGTATGGTAAATGTTCATTAAGTATTAAAAAACGTTTTTTTATGATAAATGTTCTATTCAATTTTAGTTCTGTTAAGTTGTTTTTGTCTTTTTGTTGTTGTTTTTTCTTTAGAATTATTAGAATATGTAAATAATGTAATATAAATATTGTGTATAAATTCTTATATATTTACTTTATTATTTTATTGATTACTACATTATAAGCCGACAGGTTTTACTGGCGATATAAATAATATTATTCATCATTTATATCGTTTATAACATTGTCAGTTTTTATATGCATTTAATATTTTTCTCAATAGTTCCAAAGCTGTCAAAATGAAATGGTGAATTGAGTTTAAATTAACCAGAAAAATTTATAAACGTAATCTTTGAGATTCAACTTGTAAGGATGTTCCAAGAACCACTTAGTTGGAGAAAACTGTGGTAATGTTTTAAAAATATCAGAAAGGGAAGTTAATTAATGTACAAGATTTTACTTCATAGTTAAATATAAGCATAAAAAAGCAATGTTTATAAATAATACACTATTATTTATTATAATAAAATTATTTTTATTTTTTTATATTTAACTAATGTAAAGTGCTCGTCTTTAGTTAAAATAAATTAATTTATGCACACACTTTGATATTTATTATGCTTTAACATTACAATACTTATTATTATACATATTTATTATATTTGTTATGTTTATATATATAAAAAAGCACTCAAAGGTGTAAGAGTTAAAAAGTTAGTTATGAGTATTATATTTAATCATTAAGTTCATTATTGATATTTAGAACAAAAAGAAAACAAAAATATTTTTTTTCAAAACTATAAGACTTTTTATACTTTTTAAATATATTTCATTATAGTCTATCAAGATAGATATTCTGCAAAAAAAAAAAAAAAGGATCCAAGATAGGTATTGTACTTTGGTTTTTAACAATTTCTAACTTGAGCATAAACAAAAAAAATTTCTTTTTTAAAAAAGGATAAAAGCTTTTTCATTGATTTTTTTTATTAGTGATGACAATGGACCAGATAGGTAAAAATTATTTCATTTATAAATTTTTGATTTTCTGTTATATTATAGTTATGTTTTATTTTTTTTAGCTTGCTAAAAGTTAGACCTAAGTAAGTATCATTATTAATAAATTTTATATTTGATTTTTGAAATGGTTTTATATTAAGTAAAAATAATAACTTGATAAGTTTTCATTATAGAAAAGAAAATTTGGGTTTTATTGTAATATTGTTGAGTTATTTTGTTAGTAAATTTAGTAATTAATTATTGGAATTTGATTTTAAAGAAGTTGTAAAGATTTTCATTTATTTAACAAATGGCGCCAACAATGGCATTAACAGGAATTTTGGTTATCACCATTGCAATGAAAAACAAACTAAGATTGGTTATATTTCACTTCAAAACCTCTATTTTTATTATAATTCAATTTAAGTTTTTGTTTCTTGTAGGTATTTATTTATTGCTCAAAAGAGTTTTTAACTTTATCCAGAGTTGTTTGTTGCTTGGCCTTAGTTAAATCACTCATATTGAGTAACAACTTTAAGGTAACCATTGCACATAATAAGTGTTTTTTATAATTTATTACATTGTTAAATATTAAAATCTTTTCTTACTCAAAAACTTTATTTTTTTATTTTTATTTTAGATTTAGAATTGACTCAAAATGGAAAAGAAAGGAAAGACTGTATTTTTGTGAATTCGGATTGATTTTGGTTTACTTATATTTATATTTGTTATTTAACCAATATACATTACTTAAAAAAGTTTTTAAGTATATCTATATTGTAAATGTATATAGGAATATGTAATATAATTATATTATTATGTGCTTGTATATACTTTATCAAGATTGTTAATAATTTTTAGAAAGTTTTTATTACTTTACTAATTTTTTATTTATTTGTGTTTTTTTTTTTATGTTTTTTTATGTTGATTTTTTAGGTGCCCTAAGAAGTCCTTACGGTCTTATCACAGAGCACCGCGGAAGAGCATTTAATAGGAAGTTCACAACTCCTTCCCAACCGATGTCGCAAAACTTGCCCAGAGGCGGGGTTTGAACCACGGATCTTACGTTTCTGAGGCAAGTGTGCTACCACTGCGCCACGGCTGCTTGTTATTGGACATATTTTGAAATTTTAATATTTTTTATGTAAATCAAAGAAAATTTATCTTCAGAAAATATTTTCAAAAACATGCCATTGATTTTATATATATAAGATTTGCTAGAAATAATTTATTTAAATTTTACTTTTATTTACGGAAACTATCCGGCAGCTGAGTTGCCTTTCTGTTGTTTAATGGGAAAAACTTATTTAATTTAAACGGAAGTATCCGTTTATTTACGGAAAAGTTACGGCAGCTGCCGATGACCAAGCTACCCGTTGTTTAACGGAAAAAACCCATTGTATTTTAACGGAAAAAATCCGTTTGTTCACGGAAACTTCCGTTTATATACGATGGGTTTTTCCGTAAATAACGGGTAGTTTGGACATTGGCAGCTGCCGGAACTTTTCCGAAAAAAACGCGCTGTTTTTTTAACAGTGCAACACGGTAACAAAGTGTAACATCTCTAGTTTACCATTCTTAATACATTTCAGGTAATGTTGTCTCGTATTATTACCTTTTCATATAATTAAACTTAGGTTGATACTGCTACACAAAGCTGTTGCATTTCCTTTTACGAAAAGATTGCAATCATTGTGCGATCTTTTCATGTGCAACTCTATGCACTAACAATCGTGCATTGTCTTTACTTAAATCATTGTGAAACAAAATCAGGACACATTACTTAGAAGCACCAAATATGATTTTCTAGCATTATTCGCATGCATAATACAGTAACTTTTGGAAAAAATACTAATTAAAACAACTAAAAATGCACAAATTCTAGATATTTACCCAGTAAACACACAAACGTCTATTAAACGTCAAAACAAAGTTTCGACAAAACGTTCAGCGTTTAGATTTAGTCTAAGACTTAGACTAAATCTAAAGGCTGAACGTTTTGTCGATCTTTAAGACAGAATACTCTAGACTAGAGTGTTCTGTCTTAAAGATTGTATTATTTAAAATTTAATAGCGTTAATTGTTATAAGAATATGTTATTAAACGATTATTTTAATTTAGTTTTTTATTATTTGAATTTAATTTAACAATTATTTAAATTTAATTTATTATTTTAAATTGTTTTCAATTTAGTTTATTATTTTAATACTATTGCTCATTCACGGAGATACATCTGCAAAGCTTTAAACGTTTTAAACTATTAATTGTTTACAAAAATAGAAGTTTTGAAATTAAAAATTTGAATATATATTATTTAAATTATCAAAGTTTTGTAAAATTGATTATATATAATTAGGGTTGCCAGACGTCCGGCTTTAACGGAGGAAAATGCAGCGCCATACCTGTCAAAACAAATTTTTATACTGTGTTCTCCTCCGTAAAAGCCGGACGTCTCGCAACCCTATATATAATAGATTTTAGTAGTATATTATTACTTTGTAAATGTAAATGTAATTTGATATATGTGTTTTTTATGGTAATTAGTATTTTTTTAGTTAGTTATTTTAGTTTTAGTTAATTAATGGATTTCCTTTAAAGCTACTTGTATGATTGATTTGTAAACAAAGAGACTTAACAACGACTGCGTTTTTTATGATATTATCAATAATTATCAATGTTAATAAAACTACGAATAAACATACAAGAATAAACTTTTCAAACTACGCGAAGCGTGAAATAGTCATTAAAATAATATCAATTTTTTTATTTAATAAACTTAATATAAAATAAAATTTAATAAATTCAACTATCGTTAGTTTTATTAGAATCTTGTTGAAATTAGACAAAAGTATATAAATAAAAGAAATTATATTATACTCTTTGATAAATTAAGAATATTTGTTTCTTTATTAAACAATCATTAAAAGTAAGTTGTTACTTTATATTTAAAATAATGCATAATTTATAAAAAAAAATATAAAAAAGCGAAGTTAAGAAAATATTAGTTCTAGATGTAGTTCATTTTGTTTCAAGTTTATATTTTGCGTTTAAAAATTATTTACTTGTCTATGTACGTACGGGGGAAGGGGGGTCCTTTTTTTACCGATTACTCTTCGCTTCACGTAAATTTTGATATAAAAAGTCAGCAAAATATATGTTTGCTTTTCTAAACTGTCTTTTTTTTCAAAAACGACCCAACTTATAAAATTAGGCCGTACGAGCCTGTTTTCTTAGTTTTTTTTGAATTGTCTCTCATAGGTCCAGTTAAATCTTTCATATGTGATCGCACCTGCTTCCCAACTAAGCCTGGGTATCACTTTAATCCAAAATTCTTCCATAATTATTTTGATTGAAATAATATATGGAGCTAAAAAACCCAATGGATTGAATAACGTTGCCATTTTTAAGGCAATTGCAAGGTAAATTGCTGGCAACTCTCTAGAATCTAAATTTATTGTTTGCACGATCATTTTCTGGTGTTACATTTTTTTTTTTTTTTTTAAGTATTTTGTGGTGCTCCCAGAAGTCCTTACGGTGTTATCATAGAGCACCGCGTGCAAACATTTCTTCTGAACCCAATAATAACGTGAGTTTCTTGTAGCGTAACGAGGGGCAAAATGAGACACTTAAGCGCTAATATATCTAATACGCCCGTCTAACAACTTTTGAAAAAATACTTTTCAATTCTTCTACCATTCTACTTGAAGCTTGAAAAATATGAGTTGCAAAATTGCAGTGGTTTGGTCACCAGAGATCATTTATTGACAGCACCTATCCTGTCTCATTTTGCCCCGCATACCGGGGCAAAATGAGACAGATTTTTTTTAGTAATTTAAATAAAAAAAATTAAACAAAACAGATCTATAAGAGGATTAGCAAGAAATACATTTTATAATATATTACAGCTATAATCAAACTGTCACTAGTCACATAAATCACATATTGCTTGACCAGTATTTTGAAACGAACAACAGTCCGAATGAGCTCAGGTAGTGCATTTTGAACATTGACTCCACTTATATATATATATATATATATATATATATATATATATATATATATATATATATATATATATTTAAATATGTATATATATATATTTAAATATGTATATATATATATTTAAAGCACTTATGTATTTAAAGCACGCATAACATTCATTGTATTTTGTTTATAGGTACTGCAATAACCTATATGTTATAATCTACTCACTATATATTTTATATACTACTTACTTTATTACATTACAATACAATAAGATTATAAAATATAAACATAGTAATTATAAACATCAGGAAATTATTTGCTTCAATTTGAATAAATATTTATTATATTTATATAATAAATATTTATTCTAATATAAGTTAACAAAATATAAAACGTAATTCTATATTGGATAACAACTAAACATTTCAATTAACAAAATAAAAAGTAAGTAAATGCAGTATAATAAATTTAAATCTACAGCATGTAAATATTAATATTTGCTTTGTTTGTTGTTTTAATGTAAAAAATTAAATAAACATAATATTAGATATCGGCAAAAAAAAAAAAGTCTCGTTTTGCCCCGCATCATGTTGGCATCGAATAACCTAATTTCCAGACTATTTTATTGAAGAAATAAAATACCAAAAAATGGAAATGAAAAAGGCCTAAATGTGCATTACGGTTTTCTACGCTTTGTTTACTCAATTATTGAGTAAGCTAAGTGCAGAAAACCTCAACGCACATTTAAAACATTGCATTTCCTATGTTATGCTGACGTAATTACTCTAGTTGATATAAAACACGTTGGGGCCAACGTGTTCATGCTATCTGGGAAGTTACGTATCATCGCCAGAAACACGCGACCCCATTAGTTTGTTTGAAAATCGTTTTTCACCTACAAATTATTTATTTAAAAATATTAAAGTACTTAATATTTATGAAGTGAATGTGTATAAAATATTATGTTTTATGTTTCAATGTAAAATCAATCCATCATAACATATTTTCCTACCTTAAAAACAAAAAATTAGTATACGCTACGAAATGATCGCTTACTCTATGAATCGTTTTGTCAAACAAAATTTAATCAGTTCTGTATAGTTTATTGTGCACCTAATTTCTGGAACAAAAGTGTTTTACCGAATTTTGATTTATCATTTATTTGATAAAACAAAATTAGGTAAAACAATTGTCAATTAAAGATAATAATGAATTCTTTTAGAACCTAAAAGAATTCATTATCTTTAATGACAATATTTTGAAATACTTTAAAAAAAAAAAAAATTTATATAAACCTTTTTGTTTTTGAATTTTGTTATTTTTATTTATATAAATATTTTATAATGACTTAAGTTACAATTTATTATAACGTTTTATGTTTCTGGCGACAAGATCGTTAGATCTTTTATCAGACACAAAGTTTTTATTTAAACTAGTCAACTTCTTTCTTTTGTGTTATTTTTATTTTTAATCGGGTAACTATCTGTTTTTTGCTGAAATTTTTTTTTTTTTGCCGACTAACTTATCTAAAATAAAAAATAAATTAAAAAAAATCCTCGTTTGCCGACTGCCTAATACAAATCCTCCCCTCAGGATGGTCCTGAAGATAATTCAAAAACACGCTCATTAAATAAAAAGATAATTCAAAAACAGGCTCCATTAAAACCTTTTTATAAAAGGTTTTAATGAGCCTAAGTTTATTAAAAAGTATTATTATAATTCATTAAAATGCTTCAAAAGCGTCTGTCGTTTTACATTACTATTAAATACTTTAACCCCTTTCTAATTGGAAATTAATTTAGAA